CCCCTTCTGACCCTGTGTGTGGGTCGGCGCCGCACCTGCAGCCTGGGCAGCCTTGTAGAAATGGGGTGGCCCGGAAGTCTGGTCACCTCTGGCTTCACCCCACCCCGGCTCTGTGCTCTGGGACCCTCGCCTTCTCTCTGGCCCAGAACTCTGCTCCAGAGGTGGCGTTTGCCGGACAAGGTGAGGACACGTGAGCAGGGGTGGGACCCTAAGCCCGCCAGGCTGGGAGTGAGAGCTGCAGGTGGGCGGTCGCGCCTCAGGATTTCTGGATGCCTGCGTGACTCTCTCATGTCTTCCTGAGAGTGTGTGTACCTCAGGAGACAAAGTGGGAGGCCGAGAAGGCCAGAGCCATCGCAGGGGCAGAGGATCGTAGTGTGGGAATCATGACAGTGTTCTGAAACTCAGGCCCAAAGAGCACACGCATGGGAGGAGACTAGGGACCACAGGGACAGACAGACAGACACAGGCCCAACCCTGCTGCCTACCGGCCGCATGTGTGTTGTGGGGAGTTACCGTAACCCCCACCTGAGCTGGAGGCGGACAGGATGGGGGGCAAACCCCTGACCACCCCGGACAAGCAGGTGCACGGATGCAGGTGGGCCAGCAGAGAAGCAAGGCAGGGCCTTTATTGGAGAATCTGTCACAGACACACACAACCATGGCTGCGTGGAGCCCGGCCTGCAACCAGCCAAGGGCAAGTGGGCCCTCTTGGTGTTGACCATGTCATTGCCTCTCCTGGCTGGGCTGCCTTGGGGCCCCTGGGAGAAGAGCCAGCCCTTGGAGGATTCCAAGGGCCTAGGGTGGGGGGCCGAGGGAGGCTCCCCAGGACCACGCGAGTTGTGCCCCTCCCTCACGCTCACCTTTTCTTCCTACTGGCTGAGCTGTGCACCCCAGGTCACAGAGACAGGTGCAGGGAAGTGCAGGGATCCCAGACCTGGGCTGGGTGGGGCCACGCTTTGGGTTTTGGTCAGCAGCCACCTTAGCGCCAGCTCCAGAAGGGGATCCTGATGAACAGTGCGGGAATGGGGAGGCTGTCATGTCTGGGGGCCCCTGACAGCCCAGACAGGAAGTCACAGGTACACGGGGAGGCGAGGGATGGGGGCCAGAGGGATGGGAGGGCTTGCAGCAAAGGCCTTGTCCCCTGTCTGATTGGCAGGGGCCAGGCTGGGTCCCCCGTGGGCCCTCTGGCCATCATTCCCCACAGGAACAGGGACCCAGAACAGGGCGGGAGCGACTCAGGCCTGCGCCTCCAGGGCGCGCACGTGCACGCTGGGCAGGCAGAACCAGGACGGCGGTAGTTCCTTGCTCGAGCTGTCCTCATGGAACCGGATGTGGAGGAAAAAGTCGCCTGTGCAGAGGAAGAGGAGGGCCCCGAGGCAGGCCGACTGGCCCGAAGGCTGCACCTGCGGGCAGGAGGAAGAGCCATCAGCCGGGAGCAGCACGGACCCCTGGAGCTGCCAGGACACCCCCGAACCTACCTAGATACAGGGGCAGCGGGGGAGGGGAGGGCCCCCAGACCTGGCTCCCACAGCCTTCCAGGGCTTCCCTGCTGTGCTGCCCCAGGCAAGTCACTGCGCCTCTCTGGGCCTCAGCCCCTATCCTTGGAAGGAGCTAACAGCACTTTCCTCCCTGGGGCCTGGGGGTCGGGGAGCATGGCGAGTGGCTGGGGCAGAGGCGCCATCTCAACAGGTGAGGACTGCGCTGTGTGTCATCGGGAGGCGGAGACTTGCGGCCTCATCAGCCCCTCTGGTCCGGCTCACAGTGACCGCCGAGCAGGGAGGAGCTGGCCACGTGGGGTAGGCAACGGTGACAGTGGCGCATGGGATCTGACGCGGTCCTAGGCCCCTCCACTCGCCTTAGCTCCCTAACAGCCCTAGGGGTGGTCTCGCCACCCTGGTTCCACCCTCAGGAGTCAGGTGCAGAGATGTGAACTTGTCTATGGTCTCCAGGTGAGTCATGGGGACAAGGGTCAGCACAGAGGAGACTCTGCGTCTGAGGATCCCTAAGCCTGTCATGCGGGGGGGGGGTGACAGGGGACAATGACCGCGGGGCCAGCTCGTACTGCGTCCAGATGGAAGGTGCCAGAGCCCACAAAGGAGACGGCGTGGTGCAGGTTGTAGCTGTGCACACCATTCTGGTGGTCCTGGAAGGGGACCACGCTGAGGGCGAAAGGCCCCACGCTGCGTGGGCTCCGGTTGGTCAGCCGCACCTCCAGGCGCACAGGGTCACCCACGTGGCAGGCCGCCGCCTTGCGGTCACAGGGCTGTCCGTCCACCAGCACGTCTGCAAGGGACATGGCACGTGAGACTGGCAGGGCACCGCCCAGCTAGCCCCCCTCCGCCGTACTCTGTTCATCATTCCCATGCTGATTTCTTCACTCAGTCCTCCCTCCTTCACCGGCCAAGGCTGCCGCCCGCTCTGGATCAGGCTGGGAGCCGGGACACAGACGCAGGGCCCAGGCCCCACCCTCCTGATGTGCAGGCTGGCAGAGACAGGCACGGGGGCCAGAGCTGTACCCTAAGGGGTCTGTGCCACACTGGAGGGGCCGAGAGGGCTCCAAGGTCATCTGGGGGCCCCAGAGGGCCCCTCAGAGAGGCTCCTGGGGGTGGAGGAAAGCCAGGCAAGGGACCAAGGGACTCAGAACTGGAGGGCCTGAGAATGTAGGAGGGCCTGGGACGAGTGGCCGCAGGCACCTGGCTGGGCCTCTACTGAGTCACCTGCAGAATGACCTGCCCAGATGCCCCCAGTGAGGGCTGGGCTGCCCTTAGGGCACTGAGGAGGCGGGACACCAGCTGAAGGAAGATCTGGGCGTCACAGCGTAGGGCGAGCGCCTCTCCCCCGTCAGCTCTAATCCCCAGCCAACGAGGACACTGCGTTTATATATATAGCTTCTCCGGGGCCCTTCCTCACCCGCAGGATGGCTATGAATGCTGATGGCGGAAGATGAGCCAGCCAGGTGCTGGTGCGATGGGGAGAGAGCGCAGAGGCTGCAGGGACGAGTCCTTCCGGCCTCTCCCGGGCCGCTCTGTCCAGAAGGGAGGCAGACCCACAGCCCGAGAGGCCCGCGGACCCCAGGGAACCTGCATGCGGGCCACAACAGGGTCCTGGAATGTCCCAGCCTCAGGGAGGAGGCACCCCCGGAGAGGCAAGAAGGCGGTCCCAGCCTGGAAGCCCATCTCCTGAACCCCAGGGTGCAGGGGAGCCATGCACAGGGAACCTTGACCCGGGAGCTCCTCAGAAGCGGCTGGTAGGACGGACAACGCAGGCGCCTCTAGAGCCCAGAAGGCAGGCCTGCAGCCGGCCACCCTGCTTAGGCGGACCTCCAGAACCACAGGACAGTAGGGTGTGTGGTTTTAAGCCACTAGGTTTGCGCTCACTTGTTAGAGCAGCCGAGAGGCCCAACACAGGTGCTGCTCGGGGCCCTCGGAGCCTGGCCTGGAGTCAGACCGCGGGGACTGAACCCTGCATGTGTCCCTCATCTGGGAAGGTAGTGAGGGTCACATCCTCTGTGAAAGTGCCAAAGAGAGGAGGTGCTCTTGAAGGTTCTTTTCTGCCGGACCACCTCCAAGCCCCGCATTTCTGAAATCCAAGGCCCTAGGCCGAGTCCACAGCCCTCGTTATCTTACAAGTGTTTGCTGAACACCTGGGACGTGGCCCTGCCCTCAGGCAGTGCCGGGGGGACTCGTGCACAGGAAAGGTGGCCACCCTGCAGGGCTGAGCAGGAGGGGCTTGGCACTCAGAGGTGGCCGGGACCCTGATATCCGCACCGTCACCCTTAGCTTGGCCAAATTGAAACCCCTCCTCCCCTGGTTTGCCACACAGAAGCAGCCCCACCCTGCGGGTCTGCCTCACACCTGGAGGTCACACTGAGGTGCTCCCTGGCCATTGGCATGCCCCGTGGCCCACACCATGTCCACCTTGACCCGCTCTATCCTAGCTCAGGCCAGCTACCTGCTCTGAACCTTTCCCACACAGCAGCCAGTTCACAGTGGCATAAAATGTGGTTCCATCCTTTCCCTCTCTTGCCTGCTCCTTGCCTGGCCCGTGGCTTCTTTTTACATTCAGCATAAAAGGGAATTTTGATCAAATTATTGCTGCTGACCCTGGTCTCCAGGGCCCTTCACGGCCCTGAGCCAGGTTCCCCCCATCACAAAGGTTGCTGTTCCCTGCTCCCTGCACTCCAACCACACTGCCTCCTCCCTGTTCCTCCAGCATGCCCAGCTCGTCCCTGCCCCAGGGCCCTTGCACCTGCTGTTCTCACCATCTTGGCCCCCTTCTCAGAGAAGCTGTCCCTGACCACATAGTAGGGATCCTCACTGCCCCATTCTCCTTCCACACTCTACATTTTTTCTTGACCCTCCACATCTTATCTGAAGTTCTCTCATTTATCCATCTGTTTATTAACTATCTGTGTTCCTCCCTCCTTGTCCCAGTACCCAGGCCAGGTCGGCACTTTTCTATTTCATATTTGTTGGAAGAATGAATGGATGAAGGAGAGAGTAAATGAGTGGGCTTTAGGGTGAAGTACCTGGGCCCAAATCCAGGCTGTGCTCTGCCCTCTTTGCCCCCTGCCCCCTGTCACTCCATCTGGAACTCAAGGGGCCTGGGTCATGTCCTTGAAGTGCCCACACAGAGAGGACATTAGGACCAACCTGCCACCAGCTCTGGGTCCCCAACTCACAGACCAGGCTTTCGTGGAGGAGATTATTTATGCAGGAGAATCTCATGTTGTAAGAAATCTCCTGGGAGCAGGTTAGTCTCTTCCCTCAGAGCATTAAATTGGGCCACAGTCCATCTTCTGCCCACCCCCGGCCCTGATTCTCCTTCACTTTTAATACCAGCCAGAGTCACGGACTTAATTTTATCTGGCCCAGAATTCCTCCTGAAACCACGGCCACGTTTATGCTACAGCACGTCGACCGGCTCTGGCAGAAACATACGCTATAAATAGAAGCTCGGATGAGGGAAGGGCCTGCGGGGCCGACTCTGGCGAGAGGCACGGGAGAAAGGAAGTGGTGGTGCCAGCCTGCGTTCAGGCCAAGGGCAGCCACTGGGGGTGGGGGTTCACGCAGGGAGAGGCCCTGGGGAGAGGGGAGCTGTGCGCGCCCCGGGTGGGGAAAGAGCGGCTGGCCCGAGGTTCCACTGGCAGGTGCAGTGAGTCTTCTGCCCGTACTGCCCGGTGCCAGTCCCCCTCCCCACCAACCTCACATGCCCCTGGAGGGCAGCAAGAACAGGTGCGGCTTTGGCGGGCTCTGCGCAGGGACGCTGAAGTGGAGGGAGGGGATGGAGCTGCCGGGCCCCGGGGCCTCTGACCCACCCCACTTCAGCTCTGTGGCTGCCTGGTCCTGAGACCTTGAGTTTGGCACTGGAGAGGTAAGATCCTATGTCCCCAGGGAAGCCTCTCACCACTGGTGGTCTGGGAGGCTTCCTGGAGGAGGATGCTCCGCCCTGTGTCCGTCATTCAGGAATCAGCATGGGGGCTGGAGTCCTGCCCTCCCGCCAGTGTCAGTTTCCCTTCTTTCTCCAGGAAGGGCGGGAGCAGCTCTGTTTCCCGTGCAGGGCTGCTTAAGATCCCCTCCTGGCCTCACCAAAAGCTGCCTCTACTGTGCTCTGCGCCTGCAGGCAGCCAGCCATTCTCATTGCTCTGGAGACAGGGAGGCACAGCCCTCGGGATCTGCCAACCTACCATGCCCATTTCCCTGCAGAGGTTCCCTGGTCAGAGTGAGCCCAGGAGCAAGCGAAGAGCGCAGTGGAAAGGGCTCGGCCTCCTACACCAGGCCTCCCTTCCCCCGGCACACACCAGCCCCTGCTCTTCTCACCCTTATTATTCTTGTGGGTGACAGGTACCCAACGGCATCCTAGCCACTGTCCTAAGGCTTCAAGGGGATGGTCCCATGGTCTCCTCAAACCGGCCCCATCAGGCTGGCACCGTCACGGCCCCACTTCAGAGGTGACCACGTCCCGGTGCAGAGAGCCGGCAGCTGGCCCCAGGTGCACATCTAAGTGCTGAGCCCCCACCAGAACCCTGGGCTCCAGGCCTCGTGTTATTTTTTTAAATAGCTTTACTGAGATTTAGTTCACAAACCACACAGTTAACCCACTAAAGTGCACAATTCCACGGCTTTGCCTATATTCCCAGATCCTTGCAACCATCACTACAGGTGATCTGAGAACATTTTTATCACCTCAAAAAGAAGCCCCACACCCTTTCACCGTCCCCATGCCTCTGCCTGTCCCCCAGCACCAGACAACCTTGAGCTGACTCTAGCTCCGTGGATGGCCCCGCTCCGGGCTTTCCCGTGAACACAGTCGCAAGCACACGGTCTTCTGGGACTGGCTTCCCTTCCCCAGCGCGGCATGGCCACGGCCCAGCCTGGGGAGGGGGGGGCCTGTGTCAGAGCTTCGCCCCACTACGCACATTTCCTTGCCTTTGGTTTCTTTGAAACAGGGAATGGCTAAGCAGACTTTAGGCACAAATGTCTAATTTTGGATAAAAAATGTTAAAGACTTAAGAACAATGCAGCAGGAATTAATGAGGTGAAGACCCAGAATCAGCCGGAGTGAGTCAGGTTTTCGAAGCTCTACCAGGCCGGTTTCAGCGAAAGCACATTTAAATTTCAGATTTCACAAGACACACACATTTTTCTAGTTGGCATAAATCCTGGGTGGGCCTAAATTTTCGAGCCAAATTTGATTTCGGCAAGGCTTGGCGTGGGAATTAGTCAACAAGCCTTGTCACTCCTTAGATGAAGCAAAACCAGTTCAAGTGGGGAAGACAATAGCTGAGCTGGACACGGGACGAGGACCGAGGCCGCCGGCCCTGCCCTCCCCGTACGGCCGGCCAGCCGGCCCGAGGGGGAGGCCGCAGGCCGCTGTGGGGGGAAAGCCTGTAATTACCCAGTAAAAGGTGGTGAACTTCCTCCAACGCCAACGTAGCTAACGGCCAGGGACTCAACCAACAAGGCAAGTTCTCCCACTTTACCAATGAGAACCAGGTAACTGAGTCGCCGTCCCTTACCCTGGGGCTGTTCGGAAGCTCAGAGCCCGTGGTGGCCCCATCTCGGGCACCACGGGGCCCTCAGCGGCCGTATTTCAGGCCACACACGGCGCACGCACACACACAGCCTCTCCTGCACGCCCTCGCCTCCAAGTCTTGACCAACTAAGCCAAATATGGCTTCTCTCAGTTCAGAAGTTTTAGATTTTATTTTCTACTTGACTGTATGTTGAGGGAGAGTTTGCAAAAGAGGTTAGAAGCACAGAAGTGCCCCAGGGGCATGATGGTTTTCTGGGTGGGGGACACCTGGGGAGGTGAGGTCAAATCATACCGCCCTCTCGCCACCCTCCCCATCACCCCTTCCCCCACCTGCCGAGCCCCTCCACGCACTGCGGGGAAGGGGGCCTTTCTGCTGGCTGTGCTGGCCCGCACTGGGGGATGATGCAGAGGAGAGTGGAGGGCAGAAGGAAGGGCTGCTCCTGGCAGCTCAGCCCGGCTGCCCGGGCTCCTGGGCCAGGAACACAGGCCCCCTGTGCACGTGGGCTCTCATCAGGGTGGGCGCCATGTGAGGCCAGGGCCCTGCGCTCCGTGCCCCACGCGGCGTGTCTGTACCAGTGACTGAGGCAGCTAACGCGTTCAGAAAGCAGAATGCCTCTCCCTCAGCATCCAGGGAGGGGGCCGCTGAGGCCCACACGTGTAATTACCCCAAGTCGAGAACAGTTCCCGTGGAGCCGCCGGGCTCTCCTGGGTAAATAATTTACTTTTACAACTTTTCATTAAAGATTAAAGGTAATTAAATTAAAATTAAGGCGAGCCGGAATGGGAAAGGAGACTCCTGCAGCTCGGAGCGAGTGAGCACATGGAGACGTTCTCGGGCCTCCCGGGCTCGTCCACCCAGGAGCCAGCACCCGCGGGGCACGCGGGGTGGGGTTGCGGAGGAGAGGCCCCCGCAGCTGCGGGTCAAGCTCCAGGACTGCGAGGGCAGCCCCGGCAGGCAGATCTCTGGGCTGCGACCTGCATGGCCTGTGGCTGCCTGTGGACGGTGCCAACCTGCTTCAGTGACAGGGAGAAACACACACAGCCAAGACTGCACCCGAGGTCTGGGGTCCCCTGCCCACAGTGCCCTCCCTGGACACCAGGCCAGGGTTCTCAGGCCCCGCGGGTGGGGCAGCTGAGCTCAGATGCCAAGTCCAGGGCCCAGGGAAGCACCTTGAGAAGCCAGACATTCTGATTCCTTGTCTGAAAAGGGGGTGATGCAACACGGGGTACAGCCCAGTGGCAGAGTGCATGCTAGCAGGCACGGGCCCTGGGTTCAACCCCAGTACCTCCATTAAAAAGGGGTGACGTAGCCAGAGGGCTGGTGTGCGGAGCTGGGAGAGGGCTGAGCTCCAGTCTGGACAGAGAAGTGCAGGACGAACGTGAGGGGCTGTGATGCGGGTCTCAGGCAGTGGTGCAGGGCGCAGCTGACAAGGCCAGTTCAGCTTGAAGAGACTAGGGGGAGCCACATTCGAACCCAGGGCTCTCTGTGCCAGGAACCTGCTATCTTCCCCTACACATGCAACCCCAGCTCCGGGTCTCAAGGCCCTGCTCACCAGCCCCCTCCACCTAGGGGCCTACCCTGCTCTGCCCTGTTGGAACATTTGAACTTGAGAAAGAAGGCTCTGGAGGGAGGCTGGCTGTGCGTTCACCAAACCATTCCCTTCTCTCCTGGGCACATGGCCAGACTGTAGCACCCACAGCGGTGAGCCTGTGTCCTGGTCAGTGGACGGAAGCGGGGAAAATGACACCCCCCAAAGCTGGCCCACAAGCGCACCCCTCCTGTGATTCCCCAGGAGAACTCAGGGTGCTAAGAAGGGTCGGAGGAGGGGCCACGGGATGAGGGGTGTGGGCGGGGCCGAGGTCCCAATGAGCTCCAGACAGACCCCTCCACCGAGGGCACCAAGAGACATGAGATAAGGCTGGTGGGTTAGGTCCCTGAAATTTGGGGCTGTTACAGCATTTAGATGTGCCATTTACAGGCCTCCAGGGCTCATTTATCCAAACTCTCCCCTTTCAGAAGGGACGCTGGAACCCAGTGTGGAGCTGACGTGCCTGGGGCCACGCTGTGAGCTGGTGGTGGCGGGGGCACTGGAACCCAGGTGCCCTTTCCCTCCCAGTGGGAACACAGCTGCTTTTTGCACAGGGAACTACCTGCCTGCTAGAGACAATGCCTCTATTAAGTTCTCTGCCTTCAACCTTCTCTTTTTGGACAAGCACTTCAGACAACTGAAGATAAACCAGGAAAAAAATGAAAGCTATGCCTGCTGGCTGGTAGCATTATGCAAAGACATCCTTCCGAGAACGGCAGAGAATTTAAAGTGACTTCTCTGTCCCTGAGCTGTGTCTCTACCTTTCCAATCTCTCATTTTTTATGTTATCTCAAGACTTTTCTAAATAAAGCAAAGGCCATGGCCCCTCAGGCAGGCCCCACCACTGCTCCCGTGGCTCTGTGTTCAGGCTGGTCGGCACCACACGAGGTCACCCCACCCCAGACCGTCTCACTGCAGGGTCAGATCACACATGCGGCACTGTCGGCATCAGGAGGATCTGGAGGAATCAAGGGACCCTCTTTTCCGAGGTGAGAGAGCTGAGGGCCAGAGGGAGGGAGCACAGGAGAGTCCCAGTGGGTGTGGGGAGGGGCTGTGCAATTGGTTTCACGCCCAGGACCTTTGCACAGCCTGTTTACGGCCTGGGCCTGTGCGCCCGCCCTGTGTGCCTGTGCAGCTCAGCCTCGCTTCCCCGGGAAGCTTTCTCTGCCCGGTGCCTCGGGCACTGCACTGGGCACTCTGTCCTTCCCTGGGGGCCTGCCTCCCCAGCAGACCCCTGAAGGCGGGATGTGGGCACTCCTTACTCCATTTCCCGGTGCCCAGCAGGGCCTGAGTACATGGGACCTCCCCCGGGATGTGCAGACTTTCTACTGACTACGAGTGGGGCCCAGCCTGGAAGCCAGGTCTCTGGACTCCAGGAGAGACAGCCAAGAAGAAAGAGTTTCCGTTTCCAGGGAGAAGATGTAAAAGGATGCTGATACAGAACTGACGTCCTCAATTGCTCCTCCAGAGCCTTGAGACCAAGCTGAAGGCTGTCTGCCTCTCCTCCCCTGCTTGAGCTCCCCCAGGGCCCTGTGACACCCCTCCCGTACCCGGCCCTGACCGCCCTGCAAGGTCACTGCCTGTCCCTGCTGCTCCCCCCATGCACTGGGAGCCCCAGAGGGCAGGGGCCGAGGTTTATTTGTGCCTTGCTCAGTGAGTGAATGATACATGGAGTGTTGGGGGTGACCCTTCCTGCAGTGACCCTGGGCCTTTCAGATCCCAGGGACCCCTTGCGCCAGCAGCACCGCCAGACACCACGACAAGAGACTCACTCCCCACTTTCCAGTCCTCCGGTTCTCGTTTCTCAGGATGACCCCATTCATCCTCACCAGGGCCCCACGACAAAGGGTATCACTGCCCCCAGTTTACAGACGAGGCACTACAGAGGTTAGGTCTGAGCTGGGATTCAACCCGCAGAGCTCACCCTCTTAACTGCTTCTTTCTGCATGAATTTCTTTGTTCCCTGCGGCAGCAGCAAGTGACATGGGCAGGATGGACGTGGAGAAACCCAGTGTAACTCTGGTACAAGAGCCCAGCGCACCTGCCCCTCCGCCAGGCAGTCCGGCCAGCTCTCGGCCTGCTCTGAGGGGAGCGGGAGGCCACCCGCGGGGGGAGAGGCCTCATCGTGGGCAGCCTAAGCCTGCCCTGCTCCCCACTGAGCCGATTAACACGCCCTCTGAAACGAGCCCCGCCCAGCCCAGCCAAGCCCAGCCCAAGAAGGGTGAAGGGCAGCCCACCTCATCAGCCCACCTAGCTACACATCTGAAACCTCTGGCCCAAATCTGTCAGGTGTGCGTCTGGAAATCACAGTGGAGTTCTCAGCTGTGAAGTGCCCAGAAGCCAGAACAGAACAGAATGCATCTTTGTGAGGGTCCAGAGCCAGGGATGCTCAGGGCACCTGGCACGGACCCCAGTCTTGCCTCTTAGGTAAACCTGGCCCTTCCAGAACCCAGGTCCCCCATAAGCAGCCAGGTTATCAGGGCCATTCCCGGACCCTTACTCATGTGTCTCTGCATACTGCCCACCTGCTTTCAACACCAGCCTGTAAGCACTGGTCACAGGGGTAGGCTCTCCTGCTGCCCCTGATGGCAGCTCCATTTACCAGGAGCTTCAACGGAGCTACTCTCTGCATTAAGAGTGCTTACTGCCCCCACTTTACAGATGAGGAAACTGAGGTTCAGAGAAGTCAGTAACTTGTCCAGGCTGCACAGTTGGGCAGAGCTGGAGGCTGGATGCCCATGGCTGGTTAAAAAATTAGCAGCAGTCCATCGCATGGGAAGGGAGATGTCAGGGTGGTGTTTACTGAGTACAGATGGTGTTCTTGGCGCTGACCTAGGCTCTTCCGTGCATGGTCCCCCCGAAGCCACACACAGTCATCTGAGCTGGGTGTTGTCTTCGTGAGGAAGCTGAGGGGTAGAGCCCCAGAGCCCAGGGACAAGGAGCCCCTCTCCTGGAGCCCAGGGGCTCTGACGAGCGGTCCAGGGAGGGTGCTCGGCGGCAGCGACACTGCCTTGCAGAGCGCACTGTGGGTTCTGGAAATCCCCCACCGGGGGCCGATGTGCCAACTGGCCTGGGGCTGCTCCTAGCGTGATACCGCTCGGGACAGTGCGACGGCTGTGTCATTGCTCACTTGCGCGGTGCTGGGAACCTGCTAGGAACTCTGGTGCACCTCATGCACACGCTTAATCCTCGTTGCGGTGCAGCAGGGAAGGCATGAGTATTTTGGGGATGGGAAAGCTGAGGCTCAGGGAAGTTAAGGGGAGGCTTGACGTCACCAGGCTCGCAGCCTGAGGGCAGCCCCACACCTTTACTTAGTCCTGGTGGCCCAGCTGCACTCGTCTGCCCGTCAGACTCAGCGCAGGGCCCCACCTCTGGGAAGTCTGTCCTGGCCTCGGGCCTGGGCCCTCCATCCTCACCAGGCCCTCAGAGAACAACACAGCTGCCATTTCCTCCCAGAACCACCTCCTCTAGGCTGTGAGCCCCTCAGCCTCTCACCTCTGAAGCCTGGCCCCGACACTAAGTTTTCTCCAGGACCCCTGACTCTGCTTCGGCTCACACAGCCAGCCACCTCCCCAGCAGCAGCCCCACACGGGCTTCTGATGGACGCTGCAAACGTAATCAGACATTCTTTTTCACTCCCACCTCCACCCAAGCCCACTCCAGCTCAAGAGAGGCCCCAGCGATGGGGGGGGGGCGCAGCGGGAAGTGCACTGAGAGAGGAGGTCGCCCATCCCTGGCAGGGGGGCTCGGGGCGCAGTTTTTGGGTTTTGGAAGCACAGAGGAGGCCGTTTCCAGCTCTGTGAATGCTTGTGAAGGAAGAAGCGTTGGGATCCTTGAATTTCTGAGGTGACGGGGACGGGGTGGTTAGATCGGTCTTTCTGGCCATCCAGCACCCTCCTGGTTTGACAGCCTCTTCCTGTCAAGTGAGAAACAGCACATACCTCTCCAGGCCAACAGCATCGCTTCTGGGAGAAAAATGGAATTTTTAACAGCACCTTGGAAGCCGACTGGCTGCTGTGTTGTCTGCTTAATTAGCAGGAAAGTGATTTCGGTCACAGAGCAGCACCCTGGGCAGGGGACCAGGGTTCCGGACAAGGAGGAGCCGGCCGCTGCGGCCTCTGCCAGTAACGGCAGGGGAGAGGCCCTGCCAGCCAGGCCCACCCGCACCGGCAGCCCGGCTGAGCGCACACGTGGAAACCCCCAACACAGATCCAGAAGCTCTAAACCAAGCTAGAAGCCGTGACCTAAGACGCCTTTTATCCTCCAAATGTGGCAAATACACCTTCACTGAGGCTGGGAGGGCCGAGCCCACGGCTGGGACCCTCAGAGTTCTGAGCTGGGTGTGACGATGTCGGGGAGCCCCCGTGGCCCTTCTCCCTCCCACCTCCCACACCCCTGCAGGTGATTTCATTCCCTCCCATGTCTTCAACCACCTCCGGGGCTGGTGAGCCCTGTTCTGACCCCAGACTCCTGGATGCCAAGCCTCCGCACCTCTCCCAGGAGACTCGCTGGTGAGCGCTCAGTGCCTCCCTGCTCTCCAGGCTGGAGAGCCCCTCGGCCTCACGGGAACGTCCCCAACAGCCACCTGAGCCCAGAGCAGCCCAGCTCTGCCCTTGCTCCCATGGCCAGGGCCCCTCTCCAGAGCCTGGTGCCACCACCCCTCCTGGTTCCAGCTCCAAGCCCTCCGCTCCGCACCCGCCTGGCTGCCCACAGTGCACGTTGCTTCCTTTGCTTGTCTCCCTTCGCACCTGCCCCCTCGGAGGGGACGGGAGGCTCCCTCCTGGCCACACCCTGCCACACGCTAATCAGAGGGGCAGACCCAGGTCTCAACAGTCTGGGTTCCGGCTAAGGACGCCTCTGTGGTTCCTCTAAGCGCACAGAGCAGCCACCCAGAGGGCTGGCGAGAGGACTGTTGCTTTAGAGAACGGAGAGGAATGGCTGTAATGAGCACGTTAGGGGCTGGTATGCAAATCAAGACACTCGAAAACAGTTTGTTCTCTTGAATAATTTAATCATCGCTGCCACCACCTCCTGGTGAGCAGCACTTAGGAAGCGGGTGGGCGAGGCAAGCCAGGGTCCCTGGGCCAGGTGCCCCAGGGCTGTGCTCTAAGCTGTGGGACCTGGTCTCGCACCCAGGCACCAAGGCCTGACCTGCACCTCCCCTGGGAAATGGGGATCAGAACCCTGGTCCCAGGCTCCTGGGGTTTCAGAGGTGAGGCTGCCCCAGCTGGGGCAGAGTCCTGAGTCCCCCACAGACCACCCCAGCCCCCAGCTTCCTGAAAGCAGGACGAGTAGCAGTAACAGGACTGGCAGAAACTCTTCTTCATTCTTTGACTGAATCGGAAAGAGTAATATTCACTAAGGGCCCTAGTTTAACATGAACGAGGTGTAGATAGAGCAATAGACATGTTCTGAATAACTCTTTTTCATCTTCTTCATAACCCTGTAAGCAAGGCTTGGGAGAGGGAAAAAACAAAAATCAAGGCTCGGAGAGGTTAAGCGATTTAAGGCATCGAGTCATGCCAGGATTACAATGCGGCTCTGCCTCAGCACACAGCTCACGTCCTTCCGCCAAAACCACACTGAAGTCTGGTCTCCCGAGAGAATGGACAATATCGAGGCTGCATCTAGGAAAATGATTCCGTACTGAAATGCCTTTATTGTGTCCTAGGGAAACTGAGGATCTGATGGAAACTACGGCCTGACTTCCCCACCAGAGAGACCTTTAAGTCCGTCCTTCTGTCCGACCATCCTTCCATCCATCCATCCAGCCAGCTCAGGAGATGCCCTCCCTGAGCACCCACCGGAAAGCAGCAGACAAGGGAATGCACGCACACACGTGCACAC